TTCACTTGTTTTCTCAAATTATTGTTCCATGTGTCGTAAATCCTGAGCTACAATAGGAATTGAAAGAAAGATGCAGCACCACTTCTGCTTCTATAAGAAAATTTTTCCCGCTGACATAATTCAAAGAACCTAACTTTTTATGTGTACCAGACGATTATTGTACTGCTCAAAATCAAAAACCAAAGTTTAGTCATTAAAAATAGTCTCTACAATTGTCATACTCATTGAATTATGTGGTTCTAATTTATCTTAATAGGTCAATTCATTTATCAAAAAAAAAATGATAAGTTATAATTGGGTTATATCATTGCGACGAATTGTCCCGCAACGAATTGTCTTGCAACGAATTGCCCATGCGACGAATTGTCCGCAACGAATTGTCCGCGACGAATTGTCCTGCAACGAATTGTCCGGTCACCTATATTATCACGTAAGCACGTCCAAGTGTTGCATTTAAGAATATTATAAAAAAAATGCTCAAATTGAATTTCAATTTGTTTGAGTTCAAGCAAATTTTGTCATTCATTAAGTAATATAACCAATGAGTTAACACAATCGGTTTGCGCATGATGAAGAAAGAAAGGAAATTTTTGAACATTTGGAATTAACTTTGTGGAATTGATCAATATTGAAAGATAAACATCTTGCCATTGAGCGTTACATTAGGCTGTGAATGATCTTTCCAAGTAACATTCGAACAATTCAGATGTTTTGGCTAATAGATGTCGATTAACTGTTACGTCCAAATATATGTTATCAATACCGATCAATAGTACAATTTCGTTCTTTTTTTGTTCTTCTCCTTCTTCTATTCTATGTGTGATCATTTCACACAAATAATCGAGAAGAACACTTTTTTTTTCACTGTATCACTGATTTCTGTGCAGAATTCATACACGTTACGATCATATTCTTTCCATCAAGATAACTGTTATCGTCTTATTGGAGTTCGTTCAAAAATTTGGCTTTTGATGAGTCAGTCATGAGCACCATCATCAGTTCTGTTGCTCTTTGGATGGAAGATGCTACTATTTAGCTCAAAGTTAAAGTGAGAGAGAAATTATCATCTTCGATCATTTCTCGTTACTTCTCTCGTTGCAATCAGTATTTTACTTCTGTCTACATTATACAGAATTGCGTACTATGAATTACTTAACACTTTTTTTTGACAGTTTGTCCTTGTTTTACAATCAAAAATGAAATGTAAAGCATTGAAATGCTACTACTGAAATGAATCCTTATCTTGTCATATGACAGGAAGTAATCTTCAAGCGATATGGATCATCAGCGTAGGATGAAGTGATGAGATATGAAGTTGACAGTTCTTTTTATCTTACAGGCTTAATACTAATAATGAACAGAGAAAATGAATATATAAAGACGCATTTCAAAAGTTAATAGCAAAAGAAATAAGTTTTACTCATTCGAACAGAAAGTTAAAGACAAAGAGACGATGATCGACTCTCTTACGCAAATTACCATTAATCTGACGCGATCTATTGTGCCAATAATCATGTTTGTTGGCACGATAGGAAATTCATTCAACATTGCCGTTCTCACTAGACCTGCCATGTATTGCCATGCTTGTTCTCGTTATTTTCTGGCTCTTTCTTGCAACGATCTTTTCTACACAAGTGCAATTCTCGTTTATCGTCTTCTGGCCGATGGATATCAAATTGATCTGACCAAGTTCTCCCTTATTTCGTGCAAACTCGTCACATATTTCTATCAAGTATGTGCAGTATTATCGCCATACTTTATTGTGCTGGCCTCGACGGATCGATATTGTGGCAGTTCACCAAATGCCCAGCTTCGCAAGTTGAGCGACGTCAAAGTAACTAGATGGGCGATTCTGTTTGTCATCATTTTTATTATGCTCTTCTATATAAATACTGCTGTTCTGATCGATTTACGAACAACCGATGCATTCGGATGCCGTATTCGAGCTGATACTATCTACAAACAAATATATCCGATCTTGCAAGTTTTTCTGTTTGCTATTATTGCACCTTGTCTTATGGCGCTTTTCGGTATCATGACCATCTCCAATACAAAACGAGTGGGTGCCATTCCTACCACAGTTTCGCGTCATCGTCGCACGGAAAATCAACTTATCCGCATGCTTATCATTCAAGTGGGCACTCATATTATACTCGGTGTGCCCACGTGTGTAACCTATTTAATATTGGTCACTCCGAACTCAATTCAAGCTACGTCTGGCTTTTACTTTGCCCGCATGATGTCTCAACTTACCTTGTATTGTTCTTACGCCACACCCTTCATTTTGTACCTCGCTTCGGCACGAACATATAGAGAAGAACTCATTCGGTTGCTGTACAGAATACTACGATTACGTGGTGGTCATCAAATTTATCCAACGACAAACACAATCACAAACACTATGCTAGCAATCAATACAACCGGTCGTACAGTGGCATTAACACGTCATTGAACAGTGTAGTCCATAGTTAAATCCAATATTCTGACGCCACTTCATTCATAATCATTCAATTTTATGACGATGAGATTACTATTATGAGAAAATGTATAAAACATGTTGAGTGAAAGTTTACAATATGAAATAACTATTCATAGAACATTCACGTTGTCGAGTACTAATTCATGCTTTTGATTTCACACAATAAACATAATCTTTGCATTTTCGATCTTTTTTCTTTATTTTTAAATACAGAATGAGAACATCAGCATATATCTTTGTTTATGTTATTCTGATTCTTATTGTTGAAGATTCGTGCTATATATGTGAAAATATCACATATTGTCTTTTCGTGATCTACTGAGGGAATTGATTGTGAATTGTATAGAATGGAGCAGAACATGAAAAATTTTTATTCATTCATGGTTGAATAGAACTAGCAAAACTGTATAGGAAAATATGGTTCTTTTAATCTTAAAGTCTGTTTCTACGAGAAAAGAAATTTAAAATACTTAATGTGGGTGTGGGTGTCTCGGTATGGATGTGGGTGAGTGTAGACATGCTTCGGAGAAATGCTCATCTCCACACCCACTACCAATCCTTCGATTTTTTTCAAATATATAATCTATTGCGATGACCAAATAGTAAAGAACATATTTTAATACTTTCTCGAACTATGAAAAAATTAAAAGAAATTTTATTTCGTAATTTCTATTACTTTGTGTAAGATAATTTGTTTGATTTACCAATATGTGAAGTTTCATCAAACTTCATTGTAATGATATTTGTTTTATTAATTGTAGAACTCTTAATTCAAGATTTAATTTTGAAGTACTGTTTTGGAAATGAAACAAACTATAGATCATTGTAGAATCTTAACGTAATGCACAAGTAAAATGTATCTAAAATTCAACTATAATGACTAATGTACCGATGAATCTATATGATTTTGTTATGAAAATCTATTGATTAGTATTCTAGTTGTCGATAAATAATTAAGGACATAATCAAAGTGTGCAGACATTAAAGTTAAAATCGAATTACATTTTTTATACTTTAATATGGACATATAAAAATACTTGCGTATATCAATAACGTAATAAACGTCTTCAAGGAATTTTTCAATTATCTCTTTAAATTTAGAAGAAGTACACATATTCCTCATCAACAAAATGAAACGTTGTTTCTCTTCAAGTAATAAATTATGTTTGATTAAGATTAGAATAAGTACGTTTTCTATTATTTCAAAGACCTCTATGTTTAAATCAATATGGACAGTAATATTAATATTAGACTCATCTAATCAAAGAAATTCATCAATTTGATAGCATAATTTGTTATCATATAGAGGAATTCATTGATTTATTTAAATCCGATTTTCTTTTTTGTTTTTATAATTTTTTAACAAAAATATAAACAAACAGTTAAATAACCAAAATTCATATATGTTCTAAAAAAAACGAAGCAGAAAGCTTACTATTGTTCAATGTACAACTTTTCATGCATAAACATTATTATTTGATTATAATAAATTAAATCTTGTTTAATTATTGGATAAAACGAAACAGAAAACAAAATGAAATATTCGTTTGATCATTCACTTCAAACTACGTCTCAATCTTTTGCTGATGTGGGTGTAGGGTGTGGAAGGTAGTGTGAATGAAGAGAAGATCACATTCCACATCATCACGCTCACACTCATACCCACGTCTCACACCCGAAAGGGATGTAAATGAATCAAGTGAGACAAGTCCATGTTCACAGCAAGGTTGATCAACTCGAAGCGATGTAAACATAAGAAACACAATCTGATTGTTTTCAATTCATAGGACTACCTGGGAACGAAGTCGCTGCTCCTATTCATTTTTCGATCAATGCCGACACTGAAAACGATCAAACTACCACAAATCAACGCCACCGAAAGCATTGATAGAAACATTTGATCTAACTACACCAACTTTCAACGCAATTGATCTTCGTATTCCTACACTAGTAACCATTAATTTCCATTCGCCAGACTTACCACCGAACCCAAACATTGAAGATTCTCCACTTCATTTAAGACCACAGTGAAAATGGCATTCATGTTCCTTGTCTACTTACCTGACTGTGTCCTATTTTTGCTCGGACATTTACGCGTTCTTCGTCTTATCTCATTAAATTACACTTGTGATTTGTCTCTGCCAGCTTCTTTTCCGTCCCATTGCACAATATTATTTTGCAGTGAAAAAAATTGAAACACCTAAATAGAAAATGAGAAAATC